GGAATGAAATCATGCTTGTCAATTAGTTTCTAAATGGATCTAACAATATAAAGATGGAAGGCTATAGAAGCTGTTGAACCCCCGTTATGGTAGATATGATTTTGTGTTTATTATGTAAAAGATAAAACGCAGTAAAATTTATGGATTAGGATACCGCTATTATATATTTAAAATGGAAATTCACAGTAGGTCTAATGCTATCAATCGAATGTTTTAACCTGTCGTCTTATGTTGAATCATTGGTAACGTGCTTGTCATTTTGTAGCTAAGGAATCTGTTGTGGGCAACATCAAAGCACGATGTATACTTGATGCAAAACTACTCCGTCATGCATTGGTCTTCCCTGCTTCGGAGGGGGAAAGAAGTACTCAATGTGGCTGGTCCAATTATGCCTACCGTGGTAAGAAATAACGTCTGGTTTAACTCGTTAATTCTTTACTGTTGTTTTTTCCATCATCAAAGAAGCAGGCTGATCCTTGGTTCTTATGCAGAAACGGTCAGGTTCTTTGGCTCAACCTCTCTCAAGGGTGCAGATCAGCACCATGTCTGTCAAAGACAACTTAATGGTGGCAGGAGGTTTCCAAGGGGAACTTATTTGTAAGGTATGACAATGATATCAACATGGCTTAACACCTCTAATAGGTTACTTTACTTGCCGGGAAAAGAAGTGAAACATCAGTTTTCTCATGCACTCTTATTTTAAGCAATACTTGCTTGTTCTGATGTGTTCTCATTTCTCGGTCAGTATCTGAATCGACCAGGAGTGGCCTTTTGCACCAAAGTAACCACTGATGAGAATGCAATCACCAATGCTGTGGACATCTACCGGAGTTGCAAGTAAGCATATCTATCCTAGCTTGAAGTAAGAAATTTCCTCTATCAGTGAAGGCCTTATCTAACCAATCCATATATGCAGTAGCTCTACTAGACTGATGACTGCAAACAACGACGCCCAAGTGAGAGTGTTTGATACAGAAAACTTCGCTTGCCTAAGCCGTTTCACCTTCTCTTGGTCTGTAAATGTACGTGGCCACCTAAAACAATCTTATTTGTCATTTATTCTGGGTACGAGTTTCAATGTCTTCACTGTTTCTCACAGACGACTTATGGTTCTTCCTGCTTGATTTGCAGAACACATCGGTTAGTCCTGATGGTAAGCTATTTGCTGTTCTTGGGGATAGTGCAGATTGCTTCATTGCGGATGCACAATCTGGGAAAGTAAGTTGCAAATTTTCAACTAGTTCACATTCGCAGCATTGTTATCTATCTTCATGAATCCAATTGAGTGATGTTTTAAACCTGCTTATACTGATACCTGGATAATTGCAGGTGGTCAGCAACCTCAAAGGGCACTTGGACTATTCTTTTGCATCGGCATGGCACCCTGATGGTCGGATACTTGCCACCGGGAACCAAGACACAACATGCAGACTCTGGGATGTGAGAAATCTCTCCAAATCCCTGGAAGTGCTCAAGGGGAGGATGGGAGCAATAAGGGCTGTGAAGTTCACCCTAGATGGACGGTTCATGGCGATGGCCGAGCCTGCCGATTTTGTTCACATATATGATGTACGATCTGGGTATAGCAAAGCACAGGAGATAGATATGTTTGGAGAGATTGCTGGGATATCATTCAGCCCCGACACGGAGGCTCTCTTTGTTGGGGTAGCAGATCGAACTTATGGCAGCTTATTGGAGTTCAACAGGAGGCATTGCGACCCACATCTGTATTGCATCTGATCAAACTGCCTGAGTTTGATGGATGTGGGCGAGTTGTACATACGTTATACGTAGGGGGATGGACCAAGCTGATGATCAAAGCGCCGGTCCATGTTAGCCGCTGTTCTATCGACAAGATTGGATTGCGGGAATACTACTGTCCTATTCTCGTTGAAACGGTAGAAATTAGAAAATCTAAATTACAGAGGTTGCATTACTTGCATTTGCATGTTTAATTGTTTCAGATGAAGATTTTATCCCCTATATCCATTTCTTGTAGAGGGGTTTAGTGGGTCTTGGGGGAAGAAAGAAGGAAAATTTGTCTATTTAAATTGTAAAGCTCTCGGTGATAGCTGTTCATATGGAAAAATACAAATATTTCTTTCGGTTCACATGGTTGCTTCGTCTCTCTCCTATCGCTTAGCGAATTTTTTCGTACGTTGTGCATTTCAGAAGCTGCAAGCCTGCAATAAAAAAAAAGAAACTTCTCAATTATGAAGTATCGGGTAATAGATGCCATTCATAGTGGGAGGTAAATCTCTCAAATGTCGAAACTCGGTCTAGAGGCAGTAGTTTACCTCTATCAGTGGTGTAAGTCTACTTGGCTAGAACATTATTAATCCACGTACTGGTCCACAGGCATACACATGAGAATTCATTCCTATGGCAAAGGGTATACATGTTTTTCTTATTTATATGAATTCTATGCAAATAAAAGAAATAAATACAAATTACAACATTAGCTGCAACCAACCAAAACAATCTTCAGCAATTATTTCTTGAATTTATTTAATTTTTTTGGCTACATATCTATCCTTAAATGAATTCTATGCACAACATGCAACACTATCTGCCATTACCCAAAAGAAAAATTCTTTAGCAATTGCTTCTTTTATTTATTTAATTTTTCTTCACTATAGGGGGCTATACATCGGGGGTTGCCCATTCACCAGCACCACCGAACCCCGCTACAACCAACAACCAAGCAAGAGACTTTACCAGGCACCCTGCAATAATTTCTTTTATCTATAGGATGATTTGCCATATACTTGTATTAGAAAAGGATTATATATATAGAAAACTCCATTGTTTTCCTGCCAGTCTCCGACTTCGAGAAGATGGAGAAGGTGGCCTCTGCTGGCACTGTTAGTATTATTGATCAAAAATAAGGAAAATCTAGATATGAGATGTGAACCTGTAATACCCATCTAGCCATGAATGATTGGTAGAGCTTCGGTTTGCAAACTTCAGAATTATCTCAATTACATTCAATTATTTAAGACCAATTAGGAATATGGTCCACTTTTTCTCTTTTTGTTTTTTTTTTAGAATGCCAAATATTATCCACCTCGAACCCAGGTGAGGGGATAATGAATGTTTCATAATGGCTGAGATTAGTTGCAGTTCAAATTTCATTACACACTGGTGTAAATGCATGGGAGTGCAAATATGCTGAATGTAAATTTTGATTTACGTACTTTTGCTTCATATATGATTTTGTCTTATTTGTTTGTGAGAAATAAAATAGAAAAAAACAAATAATATGCTTCTCACAATCTCACCTCATATGAAAGAAATGTAGATGAGAGGAGGGTTATTTGTTTTGGAAGGAGTAGGAAGCAATATGATGTGATCCCTACTTTATATGAGAGAGAATAATTGAGATAGGAGAAAAGTGATGCTAATGTTTGCAAATTAGAGAAAAATACACATTTTGTAGATGTGCAAATCATAATTACAAACAAAACAGATATAAAACTGAATCAGATGCAAAATTTGTATCCAGCTCAGATTTGCACGGCAAATTAAGAAATGGTGCCTATATGATTGTTGATGTCTAGAGGGAAGAAAAGGATTTCTGTTTTATTTTTCAATTGTATGCAAATAAATAAAGCTTAAATCTTAAAATGTTTTCCCTGTAGCTGTAGGATTTCAAATAGTTATAGCCTGACCCAACAGACCTGGATCGGTGCATATAAATACGCCTGTCTGAGTGTCTGTGGACATAGCTCAACTCCACCTTTTGACATCACTATTGTTTTAGAGAATTTTCAGCCTTTGGCCTATGACGAGTAAAATATCTCATCAAAATAGCTGGATGACCAAGAAATTGACTTGGCCACACGGCTTCCCTCCCATTTGAGGAGCATATATAGGTTCAAACCTTTGTAAAGACAGAAAAATGTCAATCAGCTAGTTCCCTCCCAATACATGTATCAACCGATATATTGTATTGGGAGCATTCCGATACATCCTTACAGAGGGTGTATCGAGATTCTGACCAGTTCAGGGGTGGAGTGGTCTTAAACCAGCCCCCTGAACCAGTTTAGAAAAAAAAGTTAAAAAAAAAGGATCAATACTATCAGACGTATTTAGAACTCTCCTGTTGGTTATAGCGAAGACTGGACTGAATTCCGGCTGTACCTAGGTTGGGGGGTTATGTCTTGGGACCGAATCACTGCTAGCTACCATCAACCTTTTGGCAAGCAACCAAGGGCAAGGCGTCTGTTGCCAGGCTGCTTTAAAAGAAAAAGAATAGCTTGCATGTTCACCAGTGATGTGGTAGGAAGAATTCTTGCATCTTTTTTGCTCCTTCTACCAAGGTACTTCAGCTTTTTTCATGGTAGATGATAAGGTCATATCTCGTTTTTTTTTCCTTGAATGTTGGATGGTATGAATTTAACATTACGGTAAAAATACTAAAAAAGTATTAGGAGCGAAAGTAAATTCTAGAATTACCATACATGTAACCCATCTGATGATGGGCCATATCCCAATCAGAGAAGCAATTTATACATGGCAAGTAATGGCATCTAAGGTCCTATTTGGCATCAATTCTGAGGATTCTTATAGAATTCTTTTAGAAAAGAATGAATTCTGAGAATCATGGTGGTCTTATTTGGCACAGTCATATTCATTCGATTCCTGAGGATCACCAGCTCCTTCCACTTTTTCTCAAATCCCGATCACTCAACATCAAAGAAAAAAAGAAAATAAAAATAAAGATAAGGAAGAGAAAGGAAGCGAAGAAACGAAGCAACAAAAAATAAAAATAAAATGAAATAGGATACAAATTGCCTAATGTATGTCGGCTTGACAACGACCGGTGTTGCAGGGGTCCAGCCATCTTCGTCCCGGACTGTGTTCTTGAGCAGTGGTAACGGGGGTATATCCACGGGGTTGATGAGGTGTAAGCTTCGTCGAGTCACTTGTTGTACTCAGATCTGAGACCGATAAGAGAGCAACCTTAAAATGATGAATGTTATCTGGGGGGTCGAAATTCTGAAAGAAGAAGAGGTAATGATGAAGGGAAGGGAAGAATATCAAAACCGACCGAAGGAATGAGGAAAGTGGGCCGCTGCAAGTTCGGCGGTGACAGAGGTGGTCAGAACTGAGAAGAAGACAACTCTGCACAACTGGAGCTTTTTCACAATGTTATGTATATTTTTTAGCACATTTACCGAAATACCCTCTCTCTCATGTGGCTTCCTGTCGCTCGTGTTCGTTATTTAGAGATTACCGTGGCGAGAATCACGTTTCTGAGAAGTGAACTGTTTTCACTTATCGGAATCTCATTTCTGGAGGGATTTTTTCATCCTGTTTCGAATGAGAATCAATCACTAGGTTACCCACACATGATTCTCGTTCTAAGAATCACCAGAATCAGTAGAATCCCTCCCGAGGAGTGATGCCAAACGGGGCCTAGATTTGGGAAAATTGATGCTAGCCCAGTATTCAAGACTTTCAATTTGTATGTCCCACCTAGACCTCTGTTAATGGGTTGGGTAGTCCAATGGACAGGCCTGGCCCAGCCTGTTCTTAGTGGGGCTTAGACATGAATTTTGGCCATGGGTTTGGGCTCAGGACCAAAACATAATATCCAACTTTTTTCAGTCTGGATTTGTGTTTTCTCAAAACAGTCTAGCTTCGATAATATTTTTGGGTTTTGAGGTCGTTTAATATAAAATAAATCAATTTTATTATTGAGAAAAAAAAATTTTTTCCCAATTTCTTGTTTGGGCTTTGGGCTTGGGCCTGGACTTGGACTTTATATGAGGGATGAACTCAGGTTCAAGATTTAGTTAAGCCCTATGGTCGGACCAGACCCCGTGAACAGATTAATCCCACGTAAACACTAGCACATACGGTGGAACGAGAATTAGAATTCACTGTTTTTTGAAACGACGCTATCATAGTGCAGGGCTAAAACCAAAAATCATGGCCTTAATGCATTCTAGTGGCCCCACCAAGATGTCGCTTCATATAATTCAAGATGGGCCATGGCAACACACAGAAGGTTTTGATTTAGTTGTTTCAGCCGAGCGCTACGACAGCAAATGTGGTATAGTTAATTGCACTGGCACTTGGTGGAACACGCCCAGATGCCTGCGTTTCTGACGATTGGGTATGTGGTGGTAATGGCTGGTCTATTGACGCTCTCTCAGACCCTTTGCAGTTTGGCTACCTCAGGCTCAGGGAGTGGATGTTCCTTAAGAAATCAATCGTGTGATCTCAAGGTAGCCCACTTTATCAACCCCTTGACCAGTTCTTAGGATTCATTAACGGCTTGCTGAGTTCTTTGATGATTAATTGGTTTGGGCAAAAGCACTGCACAAGGTTTGGGAGTGCTTAAAAATAAGTGTATTCAAAATTAGTGCTTATTTGGGTTATTAAGCATTTATTAGTATTTGGGAAATAAATTCGAAGTAAGTGTTTATTTTAAAAATAAGGGCTTATTTTTTAAGCCCAAATTTCCACCTTTTTTTAAGTGTTTATACAATAAGTACTTGTTCAAATTTTTTCTTTTAAAATTATCTCTAATTGATTTTTAAAATACGAATTAGAAAATTATCCATACTAGAATTTTATAAAAACACTTTTAAGAAAATACTTTTATTAGAGAAAAAGACTATCAAATACCCAATACAAAATAAGTGTTTATTTAAAAATAATAATTACTTTCTGCATCTCCTTCCACATGAATGTGAGAAAGATTGAGCTCTACTACCATCATCAGGCCTTAAAAGCTTTGACTTCAGCAAGCTTAGGTTCCGTGTTAAGGGATCTTAACAACACAGGCGATGAAAGCACCCATGTGATCTCTAATTATTAGGAAAATTTTCCGATAGATACACTATACCTTAGGCCGAGTGCCAATTTAGTACCCAAACTTTAAAATGCGACATTCTAGTACCCGAACTTTCAAAACGCGACAATCTGGTACCTGTCATTAATCAGTCATTAAATGGCACATGAAAAGACAAAAATACCCTTAAAATATAATGTAATTTTCGTTATCAACCTATCCGCTAAAATCAAAACCAAAGGCGCTTGCAATCGCAAGCAATGCGATTGCAAACAAGAAGTCTATTAAGCTTTGCCCGATCAATTG